GCCCACGGACGCTGGTTCGTTAGTGCTGTGGAAAGTAAATTCGTTAAATATCTCGTTCTACGGTTGTTGCGCCGCCGCAAAATACGGGCATCACCGGTGTATTTTCCGCCCCAGCTTCGTGAAAAAATGTTGGATTAAAGTGTACTGGACGGAAAGATACTCGTGCAAACTTCGTGTCGTAATTATTGCTTCTTTTTTTTTTCTTCCTTTTTTTGTTTTTTGGTTATTGCAGATATTTGCAATTTTAATGGCGATAAGAGATGGTGATAAGTCTGCTCGAATGACGAATGAATTTTTTCTGCGTTTGGTATTTGAAGAATTGATGTAATTGTTAAATATTGAAGGATTTCAGAAGAAATTTTGGATAATGGTAAATTACTAATTTTTTATTTGAGGTTTTAGAGGAAATTAATTATAGAAAAATTGATATTATGATTGGATTGAAGATATTTGATCATTTATTGTGTTTTTATATTCTCTAGATATAACTAGTGAGAAATGGATTATAAAATTTTATTTATCTATATTTTTATCGTTAATTTAACTTTTTATATATTATTGTAAATTGGTTAATATTCACACACGGTAGTTCAATATTTGCAATGAAATTTTGTTTTCATTAATATTAAACGATGAATTAATTAAAGGTAGGTTTATTACGATCATGATTATGCGATCACTTATTAGATAACACGATAATTAATCATACATATATATTCTGTTAAAACAATTTCAACAGCAATAGTCAGTTAATAGCCTGTTTATCAAAAATCATTTAAAAATTGGACTAATGGAAAATATAACATTAATATTGCAACGAATATTTTGAAATTTTATTTTTTATCAAAAGAAATGTAGCAGAAAGAATAAATTTTTATATTTTTCAAATTTCTATAGAATATTTTAAATAAAAAATACGAACCAGGAAATAGATATAACTTATTGAAACAAAACTCTATTCGACATTTCCTATTATTTTCTAATTATTTAAATTATTTCCTATCGTTATCCAACAATTGAATAAATGAAACAAAAATTAAAAAAAAAAACAACTGATGGCAATAATTTAAGATCGTTAAAATCCAGGAAGGAAAAGAAAACAATGGTCGTAGGAGTGAAAGTTTGACAAAATGGAATAAACAAAACGACGAAAGGAATACGCTCGTACCACCGGCTCAATAAAGATCAATCCAAACAAAGCTCGAAGAGAGTCGGAACAACCGTTCCAGAAAGCGGTTTCGATTTACAACCACTGAACTTCGTGCATCGCTACTAACCGATAAACCAGCGCCGAAACGGCTACGAGACTGCTGTAAATCCACTAAACCATTGTCTCGAATATCGAAGGAAAAGGGAGGCGTGGGAGGAAGGAAAGACCGAAACCACGAAGAAACCATCGAAAGTACATAAAACGGTCAAACTTATTACGAGTGAAAATAATCTTCCATTAACCTTCCTTTCGTCGACCATTTAAAATTTTGCTCTAATTTAAACGTTTAAGAAAGAACGAAAGACAGTAAAACTTTTAAGGGTTGATTTCAAAGTGATACAATGGGTGTAAAAATTTATTGGTTCTGAAATGGGATTGAGATGAATGGATTGAAATTAAAAATAGTATATACAGGTATATCAACAAGAAACTAAAAATTCTTTTCACAATACGTTTAGCTTTAAATTTATCATTTGTTATCATAATCTTCTTAAAAAAAATTCCGAATTCTACAGGATCTATTTAACATTACTAAATGAAACTTTTATTTATATATTCCATTTTGTTAATTACAGATATATTCATAAAAAATATGAATTATCATTGAACATTATCATAAACACTTTCAATTAACTAATTAAATTCAATGAAATATTCGATTTTCGTTTTACCAAGAACAAATTCTCCACAATTTTGAACAAACATCTCGACGCCGTTTATCTCCACCTGATGCTGAAAATCTTAATAACTCGGTGGCCAAGTCCAAGTACCTGCCTGGCGGCCGCAAAAATAAAAGACCACCCCTCCGTTTAAGGGAGGAAAGAAAACGGAAACAACACGGAAACGGGGAACGAGGGGAGAAACGGTGCGCGCGTGGCATGGTACAAAAACCTCGGCTCATCCCTCTCGGGTAAAGCATCGAGAGCAGCTCATTAAAGCCAGAAGGATCGTATCTATCCGGTCTAATTAAAAGCCACTCAAACAAGGGGGAGGGGGCGATCAACCGCGACGTTTATTGGCGCGAGAGCTCAATCACGAAAGGGTCGACGAGGACGGATGAGCTCGAGTCGCTTCTGGCACGCATCCACGTCTCTTTCCACGTGTCCCGTGAGACTTCTTCGACCTTTCATCCCCCTTGTCTGCGCCACACTTGGATGGAATGGATAGTGATAAAGAAGAGTGCAAAGAGAGTTGTCGAAAATAGAGAGAAGAAAGATTGAGTTTGGTTGAATGATTAGTAGTAAAATAGAAAAGGAAAAAGAGATGTAAAAAAGGAGAAGGAGATTGAGGGTTAAGGAAGATGAAAGAAGAGAGGAGTGTTTAGTAAAAAGTGTGTTAAGGAAAGATGAAGTATTTAAGTAAATTCCTTAAAAGTTATTAAAAGTAGAGAAACATAGGGGGAAAAGATAGAGAAGAACTTTTTTTATTCTCAAATAAATTACAGATAAATAGTATGTTATCAAGAATATACATATACAAAAAGAAAGAAAGAAATAAAAAGATAAGATTAATGAAAACTAAAAAGCATAAGAAAAGGAAGGAAATGGAGTAGAAAAAAACATATACAATTACATGTACAATTAGTTCTAAAAATGAGCAAAATATACCAATGGTTAAATATAGAATATATTAAAAAAGTAAAATGAAAAGATAAAATGGAAAGAGAGAAGGATACAAAAGAATGAGAATAGATTAGAAGGAAAACGAAAACACAGGATAGAAAGGCGAGGAATCACTTGTATAATTCATGGTACCACCTTAAGTGGTTAGTGATCCACGTTTCAGTGCTCCCTGACCCCTTCAGGTTCCAGCAGAGCTTGTACCATAGCTCTACGGCATCTCAATGCTGACCGACCGACAGATTAGCCCCAGGAAATTGCCAAACTTCTCGTCGCTCCGGTGGAAAAGTCGATTCCAAAAGTCGTTCCTCAAGCGGCCAGTTTCAACCCCCACAGACTTTCTATTTGGTTTCCTCAAGACGGCCAACGATGGGACACTAGAAACTGTCTCTTAAATTAATGCTTCCTGAAACGATCTCTTTTCTTCTAGTTTCTCTTTCTATTATCATTTACTTTATTCTATTTTCCGTTTCTATTTTGCTTTTTTTTTCTTTTTTTTTTTTTATTTTTTATGTCGATTGTATATTGTAAATTAAAGATTGATATTGTAATTATATGTTCCAAATTTTTAAATATTTTTAAAATTATTTTATATTATATATTATTTATATTTATTTATATTTATAAGTTTATATAAGAAAAATTATTGTTTGTTAATTTTAATTCATTGAAATACATATAATATAAAACGTGTGAAGAAATATTGAAAATCATTTATTCGAAAAATTTAAAGAAATCGCTTAAATTGAATTTTGATTTCGTAAAAATTAAAACGTGTAGATAAAAAGAGATGGTAAAAAGAAAGTTT